AGCCCGATTTGTAACCACTACACTACCAGAGCTCCTTATAGTAGGCTTCATTCTTCTATACCTGACACCACTCCTTTAAAGGTCTAAGCAGAAATCTCAATGCACTCACTATTGGTGACCCTTTTCATAAAGAGGATGAATCTGTTCAATTCTCTTCCATAAGAGTTAGCTGTGAGATAGAGAAGAATACAAAACTTCCTCCTATGCAATAGCTCAAATCCATGGTGGCCATCTCTCCCTTAAGATTCTCACCTCACGAAGTTTCACCGAAATTCCAGGCAAAATTACTATGGAACTCTAAGGCATAATTCTGATATGTCTATCACTTCATTTGCTGGAACAGAATTCTCATTACATTAAGTTGGTAATGAGTGGTATCAAATTTCTACTGGCCACCTCTCCCTCCTTCCTCCAACCCAAGTCTCATTGAATGGTTCTCAGTGGTCGTACACACCTACCAATCCCTCCAGCCTCCCTCTGTTTTCTCACTTTGATAATAGCAATTCTTAGATTTATAGGAAGATAATTAGAAGTTCTCACAATTTCCAGTCTAAACAAAGCAGAAGGCCAAACCCCAACATCCACTTGATTTTGTGTTTATTGTAATTCCCCAAGCCTAGTTCAGATAAATGTGTTTTGTCCAAGTTCAGGGGCTGCTATTTTCCCTTGCTTCTTGTAATCATCTATAGGCAGGCCTTTGATTTTCCTGAGCCAGGCCGTTTTGCTGGCTTTTTCTGGATCGACTACCACGGTGGGTTCACTTGCCTGATATTCCTTCATCTTGGCTTCCCTGTACTCTTTCTCCTCCTTCGTAGTCAACAGCCTGAACCCCGTGTTCATTCTAAAGGGATTGAGGGCTGTGTAGAAGTGAGGCCGTTCTTTTTTGAGAGACTGGGTCACTGTGTCCACTCGTGGAGCAGCCATGCGGTTCTGTCTGATGACGTGCATGCTGGTCAAGTGGCCAGCACTGCGCGCTGCCCCTTCAAGACAGCTGGGCACTCGGTCTTTGCCTTTGAAGCTGCCAGAGAGCCTGGGGCGGATAATCATAGGCTGGGGTATGGTGGACTGAATTCTGGAACTGTGCAAAGAATTCTTGAGAATGGGCTTCAGTTTCTGTATTTCTAGCGGCACGGTAGTTTTTTTCACTCCTGTGGTGGGGTTGCTGGTCCTCAACTCTTCAACGGCATGCTGGAGTGATTTTCCTTTGAAACTCAGAAACTTCCTCGAATGGGAGATGGAAGGACCCTGGGCATCAATGACTTGGGCTTTGGGTCTCCCAGGATAAGCAAATGACCCTGAGCTGTGGGCTTGCTGCAGGGCATTGACAGTCAGGAGTAATTGGTCAGATAACCTAGGGGCATGCCAACCTTTAATGTTTGAGCAGCGGGTCAAGTCTATAGGAGTTTCCAGTTGTTTTCTTTTTTTCTGTACTTTCCCCACATCATCTGCTTCTGCAAAAGTAGGAGACAAAAATAAGTCAGACTTCTAGGAAAAAGAGCAAGTAATTATGTATAAAAATTAAAACTATTCTTACACTATGCAAACTGAGATCTTGGCGGCTCAACAGCCATGCCATCTGTAGGCAAACATCCCCTGTGTCTACAAATGCTGACACTTAACAGGTTTGTTAAGAAACATGCTGGTGTTTTTATATGCAAGTGTGAATTAGCCTGTAGATGCACCGGAAGGAAACATGGGTTCTCTCAAAGCTTCACACATTGTTGAAACTTTGCTTTGACCTTCATTCCTCCTATGATGTGTCTTATGAACTTCAAGTAACAAACCTACTTTTTTGGTTCTTGAGAATTGTGGTGCTTATTAAAGTTATTTTCATAGAACAACTATAAAAATTAAAATGAAGGAAATGATATCTCCTGGTCAAAAACAAGAACGCATCCTGGTGGCGCACTATAGGATAAGCAGAGTCC